AGTGGCTTATCACCCTGTTTTTGCTAAGGCTAGCTTTAAACTCACAATCCTTTTTCCTCAGCCTCCTGAGCCACTGGAATTATGGACAGGTACCACCATGCCCAGCTCAGTTTATATCTTTTCATTGGAAATTTTATCTGTTTATATTCAAGATTACTAGCAATATGTAAAGCCTCACTCTCATCATTTTGTTAATTTTCTTTTATTTTGTGAATATCCTATGTTCCTCTCTTTCTCTCTTATTAGTCATCTTGGTAGCTTGGTGATTTTGTGTATTGATGAAATTTGATTCTTTTCTGTTTCTTTTTTGTTGATGTGCTCTTCTAGTGGGCATTATACTTTCATGAATTTTCATGATAGTTGTCCTTCTTTCATTCTAGATGTATAATTCCTTTTATGGTAGAATATGATGGGAAAATTTAGCATTTTAAGAGCTTACAGGAAGTGGTTTTGCACATTGACATATAGCAGCTAGCTCTGCTTACTTCCATTTAATCATAGAAGCTTTCAGCAGTTAACAGGTACCTGTAACACATAACCACAGTAGCAGAAGCAAAAGACAAAGTAGTAGGAAAGAACAATCCTACTTTAGGCTTAGTGCAATAAAAGTCCCTAAGCTGTATGAGTTAAGAGTACCTAGGTTGTTAACAAGCTTGTACCCATATAAGGAATGTAGAATAACCCTCCCATAGAATTTCATCAACACCCTTACCTTGATGTATCCCAAACTTAGTTATGTATAAAAATAAAAGCCATGCTGTGCTCAGGGCTCAGACTTTTGGAATTATCCCTTGGATCTGTGGCACTCTCATTTCTTGCTACACTTTAAGCATCTTTTGTAAGACCAGTCTGGTTGTGGTGAATTCTATGTTTTTATAACCTTGATAACATTTATTATATATGAAGGATAACTTTGGTAAGAGTAGTATTCTTGATTATCAGTTTTTATTTTCTTTCAGGTCTTAGAATATGTTTTTCTCTTCCCTTCTGGCCTATAAATTGTTGAGATATGAGCTGTTAGTCTATTGGGTGTTTCCTTAAATGTAATATGTGTTGATTTTTCTCTTGCTGTTTGTAGATTCTCTCTTTATCTTGTGTTTTTAACAATTTTAATATAATGTGCTATAGTTAGCATTTTTCTGATCAAATTTATTCTGTGTCCTCTGCATAATTTATACTTGGATATCTATATTTTTCCAATATCATATGAGTTTTGGGCTGTTGTTTTCTTAAATATGTTTGGAATACTTTTCCTCTAGCCTTTGGGATTCACAAAATTAGATTTTTGTTTTTCATTTAATAATGTCCTAAGGTCTCTTATTCAATCTTTTTTTTTCTTAGTTTATTTTCTTTACTTTTTGCTTTTTTATGGGGACCCACTATCTGATTGTGATATTTCAAAATACTTTCTTCAACTTAATATACATTGCTGTTGAAGCTATTGACTCTATATTTTGACTCATATCCTGCAGCTCCAAGGTTGCTGTTTGGTTACTTCTTTAAATTCTCTGTGTCCCTACATTGATTTATGTGGTGGATCAGTTGTTTCTACCAATTTTATAAGGCGAGTATTGTAATAGACTTTCTCCTGAAGATATGTCTTTGGGTGTCATTTTGGTAGATTCTGTTGACTTTGGCTCCAGGTTGACACTGAAGTACAATCTCCCTAAAGGTCCTTCAGCTGTAACCAGTGGCTTTGGGTGTGGTAGAAGCAGCAATGTGGTCAGAAAGAAAAGGTGTTAGGCACTTTAGCAGCCCAAGAGGGTAAGGTGCATAAAGAACCCTACAAAAAAGTAAGGTTGAGATAACTTCTGTGTGGCCAATCCAGTGATTGGAGTGGTGGCACCAGGGACATGAAGGATAGTGGATATTTCTGGTACCCTGGATCAATATCCATTGTCAACAGAGATCTCCGGCTCTGAGCACAAAAGTGCCAAGGTATGGTTCATGGAGGATGTAGCTCTAGAACATGCAGGGGTTTGTGTCAATGATAGCTGGGGCTGTTGCTTTTTTGTAGGATGAAGCTTCAGCTATGGAGTATGTTGAATTCATTCTTTGGTCCTGTAGAGGTTAGAACTGGTGTCAGTGAAGGCCAGTGAGAGGCACATATTCCAACTCCCAATGACATGTGCTACTGAAGACTGGAAGCAATGACAATGAGGGACAAGCAGTAAATAAGTCTCACCTCTAGTCTTACCAGTTGTACACACTTGTGAAGCAAGGCAAGCTCATTCCCTATCCTCAGCAATACCATGTACGAAAGTCAGTCAGAAACAGTGTGTGTATGTTCATGCACATGCACATATGTGTGTAAGGGATATTTCCTGTCCCAGAGCATGAGCACTTTGGTTCCTCAGATATTGAGGCTGGCACCGTGTGCCATGCTGAACCAGCCACCATGCAAGCACTGCAAGACTTGGTACTGGGATCGTAGCTGCAGGGCTAGACCTGGTTGGGTTCATAACATTCATAGAGTACCTTTTGTATTCCATGGTGGGGTGCTTATGGGACTTCAGGAATGGAAATATACTGGGACTTCTGTCCCTCAGGGCAATATACATTCTTACAGTCACTCAGAAGCTTGAGCTCTGGGTGTTAAGGAGAGGAAACGTAAGTTTCTTTTCTGTAGAAAAGCTACATGGAGAACCCATACTACTCTTCTAACTAAGCTCTGACCATTAATGATTAGAAAGCTCCTTTGTTACAAGGATTATCAGTGTCCATTACAGGGTCCAGTGAGACCTTCTCTATCTCTCACATCATGAAGTCCCCTTTATGAGGGAACCAGGTTCTGTTCAACTCTTTATGCTACCATTCCATGTCTTAAAGGAATACTGTTCTTCTCTTGCTGTGTTTCAATACTCTCTCTCAGTCACCCATCTGATATAGCAAGTATTCATTAGGTACTTCTCTGTAAAGGAATCAGCACTGGTCTTCTGTGTTTGGTCATATTGTAATCTCTCTCTTTTTGAGAGAGAGAGAGAGAGAGAGAGAGAGATTTAATATTTATTTTTTAGTTTTCAGCGGACACAACATCTTTCTTTGTATGTGGTGCTGAGAATTGAACCCAGGCCACACGCATGCCAGGTGAGCGTGCTACCACTTGAGCCACATACCAAGCCCTGTAATCTCTCTTAATATTATTTATTTTTAAATGCTGGTCATTTTATGGCCACAAGTTGGCTTCCGAACTCATTTCTTTCATTTATACTTATTTTTTAGTCTTTGAGTGCCAAATGTTATTTTCCATGCTAAGGATTCAGAAATGTTTCAGCATGCTCCTTCCTCAGATAATATTATCCACATCTCTATTCCTTGCACAGAAATATGTGGCAAAAAAGTGTGATAGTACACACTGTAGTTTGCATATGCTTAATGTGTAATGTGTATCCTCTGACTTTTATTTTTGAAAGTTTGCTTTTATTCTTTTGTTAACTCTTTATGTTGAACCTAATTGGAATTATTGTGCTTCATGTACCTGGATGTTCATATATTCCCATAGATTTGGGGGGTTTTTACCTATTATTTAAGTATTTGATTTAATATTTTCTTTATTGTTCTTCTGGTATGTTATCTCATAAATCTCCTAATTTTTTATTTTCCTCAGTCTCTATTTCAGATCCTTTATTTTCCTTGTACAATAGCCAGATGAAAACTATATCAATTATGATATGTGTTGTGATGTTATATTCCAGTTTATTAATCACTGGTGTAATAAAGTACCTACAAGGTAAGTGAACATAAAGAGTTATGACTCAGAAACTTTCTTCTTGTACAGATTTGTTTTACATTCCCATATAAGGTTCTACTTTATGTCTTGTGGTGCCAAACTTCACCCTGCCTCCCAAGAGAAAAAAAGGTTAAATCCTCAAATGTATTTAAGTTATGTATTAGTATTCTATGGATAAGCTATAGTCTGCCCCTCTCTGAGTTAGCTTATTTCTATTTCAAGTATGTAATAAGAGTGACTCTGGCTGTTTCTGCCCTGTCCTTCAGCTAACAATATACAGAACCACAACTGTGCTCTTCAGGTTTTTTATTATCTTCCTGCAATATGGGTCAGAGTTTCTAGTAATGCCTCTATCTCTGGCATCCTTCCCAAAAGAAAGCAATTCTCTGCAATCATATTTTGTGACAATATTTCATATATATATATATATATATATATATATATATATATATACTGCTTTTACATAGTTCATTCACTGAAAATTTTTAAGATTTAAGTCTATTTGAAAAACTTTTGACTCTTTCACTCTGCCTTCTTGAAAGAAGTTAATCATTCTACAATTTTGTTCAGCCAGAAAGTCACAGATGATTGATATTAATTTGGAGATAATTCCCATATTATCCCCCAAGTATTGTTTCTGATATGAATGAGAGCTAACATGTCATCAAATATAAGATTTTCCCAACACTTCTTGTAATAAAAATGCCATTCATAATATCAAGAGTAGTTTCCATTGTTTTTCTGATAAATTTTCCTTAATGGACATAGTATTAAACCAACATTGACAATATTATGTGTATCACTATGTTAGAAGGAAAAAATGCATTGAATTATGAAAGGAAAAGTGTTTTGAGTTCATGGTTTTACCTATTCCAAATAATTTCTCATAAGTAAAAGCAAAAAAATTAGTCAAGGAATGAAAAACATGCAGTGACTCTTGTATCTATGAAAACTAAAAAAAAATTTTCAAAATGGAAATAAGAATATTAAAAATATGTTAATAATATACAAGAAATAAAATAATTCGATTAGAACTCAACCATTAATTTTAAATAAAGGTTAAGTTATAATTTCAAGTCAAGGCTACTTAAAGAAAATAATTTGAAAATATAGTTATCCTTCTGTATCTGCAAGTTTCATATCTACAGATTCGACCAACTGCAGACCAAAACATATTTTTAAATTGTACTTGTATTGGAGATATATATAGAGAGAGACATTTTTTCTTCTTATTTATCCCTAAATAATGTCCTATAACAACTATTTACAGCTGCTGCTGACGCTGATGCTGCTGATGCTGCTGCTGTTGCTGTTGCCACAGATGCCAAAGCCACAGAAGCCGCAGCTGCAGAAGCCGCAGAAGCCTCTGCCTCAAATGGTGCTGCCACAGAGTCCCCAGAGATCTCTTCTCTGGGCACAGCCTCCATTACCTCTGATGTGAATTCTGACAGTACCGCTGAGGTTGCTGCCACTGAACTGGAAGTCTCATATGTCAATCTACCACAGCCTGAACCACTATCGCCATTGTAGCTGCCTATGATTCCATTGCTGGGATCACCTGGAGGTCTTCTTTCTGGATTTTGCTGCCACAGAACAAACTTCTGCCCCAGATGCAACTGAAGCCGAAATTGCTGCTGATCCCTGGAGATCCCCTGGTGACACTCCGCCCCCCCCCCAGCCCACACACACACAGCTGCAATTGCAGCTGCTGCTGCAGCCACCACTATTCCTGATCCGCTGCCTGCTGCCAACAGCCACCACCACTACAGCTGCTACCACAGCCTAGAGGACTACTTTAGGGGAGACTCCAGGTTTGGTTGCACCCTTTTTGGGACACCAGCCAGGGCCTGGGGCCCAGGTGCAAGCAGGTTTACCACCAGAAGAGCCTCTGTCTGGGGACTCTAGCTGGGACCTGCAGGTCCAGTGTGGGGGCAGTGCCTGTGGGTTTGGAGGAGCCTGGGGTCTTCCTGCTGAGAGTGCTAGTGGCCCTTGTCTTGCTGCTACATTTCAGGGTTGCTCCTTTGCCTGAGTGTATTCCTGATGGTCTCTCTGCAAGTAGGAGCAGCATTGAGATCTTGGGACTGCAGGGTGATGGATCCTGAGGTATCTGAAGCCCAGACTGGTGGGATAGAGACCGGGTTTGCAAGGGCTCATCTGGGTTTTGGTGATGCTAAGAGATGTAGAGATAGGGCTGAGAAACTATTGAACACTGACAGAAAAAATTCGACTTTCCAGCAAGACTTATTTTATCTTATTTTTTGGTTTACTAATCTCTACCATATTTGGAACAGGATGTTTTTTATGCATCAGTGTATGGAAGCCAATGATATTTGAATGATATTTTTGTTGTATTTTTATGTCTTAGTTTTTCTCTTTGTTTGTATTCTTCTTCTCTCTTATCTATTTTCTTTCCAACTTTTCTCCAACCAACAGCCAATCTCTGTCAGCTCATCTTCCACTCTTCCTGTGAATTTTTACTTCCAGTTTCTCTCCTTCCACACATATATCACATACTACACTACTTTTGTTCTCTTATCTACCTGAGATCACCATTGTAAATCATTTTAACAATTTTTGTGTTATACTATAGATAGTTATTGAACTCATCATTTTGGTTTAATGGGAGAAAGCAGTAGACGCCTTAGTGGAGCTATAAGGTTTGAGGGTATATATTGTGTACACTGGGTGCTGTGGATATTGATCTCACCAGCAAAGACAAAGCACTGGAAATCTTTAGGGACACTATAGGTCTACATGGTAGAATTTATCCTGCCTTAGATACAAACTTTGAGAGGGAGAACACATTATCAACATGAGAAAACAAGAAAATAAAGCGCTCCAAACAAACCAAGATGCTTCAATAACAGAAGCCACTGATAACATGTAGAAGAAATATCCAAGAAGGAGTTCAGATTGTATGTCGTTAAATTGATATGTGAAGTAAAGGATAGTATAGGAATGAAATCAAAGAAAAAATACAGGAAGTGAAAGACCACTTCAATAAAGAGTTAGAGATCATGAAAAAAAAAACAAGCAGAAATCCTCAAAATAAAGGAATCAGTAAATCAAATTATAAATTCAATAGAAAGCATAACCAATAGACAACCACTTGGAAGACAGACCTCAGACAATGAAGACAAAATATATAATCTTGAAAATAGAGTTGAACATGTGGAGAAGATGATAAGAAACCATGAGCAGAATATCCAAGAATTATGGGATAACATGAAAAGACCTAATTTAAGAGTTATCTGAATAGATGAAGGAGCAGAGATACAAACCAACGGAATGCACAATCTTTTCAAGATATAATAGCAGAAAATTTCCCAAACCTAAAGAATGGAATGGAAAATCAAATACAAGAGGTTTACAGGACCCCAAATACACAAAATTTCAGAAGACCCACACCAAGACAAATTATAATGAGAATGACAAACAGAGTATAAAGATAAAATCTTAAAGGCTATAAGAGGAAAAAAAATTGTTACATATAGGGGGAATCCAATTTGTATCTCAACTGATTTCTCAACCCATACCCTCAAAACTAAGAGGACCTGGAATAATTATATATTTCAAGCTCTGAAAGAAAATGGATGCCAACCAAGAATTTTATATCTAACAAAGTTAAGTTTCAGATTTGAAGATAAAATTAAAACATTCCATGATAAACAAAAAAGAATTCACAACTAGAAAGCCTACATTACAGAGCATTCTAAAAAAATATTCCATGAGGATGAAGTGAAAACCAGAAAAGGGAAGATCTACACTAAATTGATGTTCAACCAAATGAGAAACTAAGACAAATCAAAAACTAAAAATAAATCAAAATGACAGGGAATACAAAAACATCTCAATAATAATATTGAATGTTAACAGCCTCAACTCATCAATCAAAAAACAAACATAGCAGATTGGATTAAAAAGCAAGTCCCAACAATATGTTGTCTTCAAAAGACTCGCCTCAGGGGCAAAGACATTCACAGGCTGAAGGTCAAAGGATGGGAAAAAACTTATCACTCATATGGATTGCATAAACAAGCAGGGGTTTTCATTCTCATTTCAGATAAAGTAGACTTCAAACCAAAGTTAATCAGAAGAGACAAAGAAGGACATTTCATACTTTTTAAGGTAAGTATACATAAGCAGGAATAACAATTATAAATATTTATGTCCCAAACAATGGAGCACCTATGTACATCAAAGAAACCCTTTTCAATTTTAAGAGTCAAATGGACTACAATACAATAATCTTGGGTGACTTTAATACATTCTCTCACTACTGGTAGATCTTCCAAACAAAAACTAAGAAAACTATAGAGCTAAATAACACAATCAATAATTTAGACTTAACAGACATATATAGAATATTTCATTCATCAACAAGCAAATATACTTTCTTCTCAGTAGAACATGGCTCCTTCTCTAAAATAGATCATATCTTAAGGCACAAAGCAACTCTAATAAATACAAAAAAGTGATAATACCCTGCATTCTATCAGACCACAATGGAATGGAATTAGAAATCAATGATAAAATAAAAAATACAAGCTACTGTAACAAATGGAGGCTAAATAATACACTACTGAATGATGAATGGATACTAGAAGAAATTAAGAATGAAATAAAAAAATTCTTAAAGATAGATGAAAACACTGATACCACATATCAAAATCTCTGAGACACTATGAAGGCAGTACTAAGAGGAAAGTTTATTGAACTGAGTGTATTCATTAAAAGATTAAGAAGTCAATAAATAAATGACATAACCCTACATCTCAAAGCCCTAGGAAAAGAAAAACAAATCAACTCAAAAAGCAGTAGAAGACAGAAAATAGTTAAAATTAGAGCTGGAATCAATGAAATTAAAACAAAAGAAAGAATTGAAAAACTTGACAAAATAAAAAGCTAGCTCTATGAAATAATAATAAAAAATTGACAAACCCTTAGCCACTTAATGACAAGAAGGAGGGAAAAAATTCCCTCCTTTGTGATGAAAAAGGAAATATGACAGACACTATTGAAATACAAAAAATATTTAGAAACTACTTTGCAAATTTACACTCTAATAAAATAGAAAATATTGAAGACATTGACAAATTTATAGAGACATATGACCTACACAAACAGAATGAGGAGTCATAGGTGATTTAAACAGATCAATTTCAAGTAATGAAACAGAAAACACCTTCAAAAGCCTACCAACCAAGAAAAGCCAGATGAATTCTCAGCCAAGTTCTACAAGACTTTCAAAGAATAATTAACACCAATACTCTTCAAAGTATTCTATGAAATAGAAAAGGAGGGAACCCTTCCAAACTCATTCTATGAGGCTAATATCACCTGGATACCAAAACCAGACAAGGACACATCAAGGAAAAAAGCTTCAGACCAATATCCCTAATGAACATAGATGCAAAAATTCTCAATAAAATTCTGGCATACAAAAACATAGTAAAAAAAAAGTGAACCACAATCAAATGGGATTCATTCCAGGAATACAGGGTTGGTTCAACATATGGAAATCAATAAACATAATTCATCATATTACTAGACTCAAAAACAAGAATCATATGATCATCTCAATGGATGCAGAAAAAGCATTTGACAAAATACAGCACACTGTCATGTACAAAACACTAGAAAAACTAGGGATAGTAGGCTCATACTTCAACATTGTAAAAGCTATATATGCTAAATCCAAGGCAAGCATCATTCTAAATGGAGAAAATGAAAATCAAAATTACTCTAAGATATCATCTCACTCCAGTTAGAATGGCAGCTATTATGAAGACAATAAATGTTGGCAACAATGTGAGGAAAAGCTATACTCATATATTGCTGGTGGGACTGCAAATTGGTGCAGCCAATTTGGATAGCAGTATGGAGATTCCTTGGAAATCTGGGAATAGAACCACCATTTGACCCAGCTATTTCTGTTTTCAGATTACACCCAAAAGACTTTAAAACAGCAACACAGACACAGCCACATCAATGTTTATAGCAGCACAATTCACAATAGCTAAACTGTGGAGCTAACCTAGATGTCCTTCAGTGGATGAATGGATAAAAAAAGTGACATATATACACAATAGAATTTTACTCAGCATTAAAAAAGAACAAAATCATGTCATTTGCAGGTAAATGGATGGAGTTAGAAAAGATAATGCTAAGTGAAGTTAGCCAATCCCCCCCAAAAAAAAACCAAATGCAGAATGTTTTCTCTGATATAAGGAGGTTGACTCATAGTAGGGTAGAGAGGGAGAGCATGGGAGGATTAGATAAATTCTAAATAGGGAAGAGGGATGAGAGGGAAAAGGAGGGGGAAGGGGATTAGCAAGGATGGTGGAATGTGATGGACATCATTATACAAAGAAAGTGTATGAAGAATTGGGTCTAGCTATATACACATACTTTATATACAAACAGAGATATGAAAAATTATGATATATGTATATTAAGAATTGTAATGCAAAAAAAACAAAGTACATGTATAATGGCATAAATTGGTGTGAACATACTTTATATACAGA